GAAGTAGACATTGATTTGCCAGTGTTTTATAAAATCAGAGATATTGTTGTTAGAAATGAATTTGTGGTACTGGTTGCATCACCACTGAAAACTGTTTGCTTTGATGATCATCGTTATGCCTACAGAATTGAACCAAGACACTGTGAATCCTTGAAAGTATTCAATGTCACTGAACTAATTTATTACAAACCTTTTGATATGCAAATATCTTATGGGTCTGATAATTTCTTTTGGTTTGTTGTACCTTACTGCACTCTTGTTAACACTTAGCTGTCAATGCAGGTTTTATTTAACAATTGATGTTTTTATCTTTTATTATTTTGACAAGTCGAACTACATGTTTTAAAGTCACTTTGCCCATTTTTGTAAATAAACATTTAAATGATTACATCTGTGTAAAGATTTATTTTTAAATATTTGAATATTTTGCACCAAATAACACTATCAATAACACTTAACAGAGCAATCTAAATTAAAAAATAACACCATAGGTGTTAAATGCCCCATAGTGTTAAACTTACAGTGCAATAACAAGTGTAAAGAAAAACTCTCTCAGTGTTGATTTTTGACACTATATGGTGTTTTATTTACACTAAAAGTTCAACACTACAGTCAGTGTTATTTTTACTCTCCATAGAGTGGGACCATATGTGCTCCAAAGAAGTGTTAAAATTAACTCTTTAAGTGTTATATTGACACTGCTTATTTTACTGTGTGTGAAAAGTGTGACAACTTACCCCGCTCTCCCCTACCATTAAATGAAATATTGTGGTGCCGGGCAGACCGAGGCATCGTGACAGCAGTGGTGAACAAACACGAGGAAGCGTGGAATTGCATGAAGTTGCTCTTTTAATGTTGTCCTGAAAAGTACTGCACTTAAGCAATAATACAGCGACACAGAATGGCAGAGAAACACAGGGAAGTTACACTAAGAATAGTAAGGCACAAACATGGTGGGTAATTGCACATTGACTAAGGATCAGGCAAGGATCAAGTACAAACACATGTAAGGGTACATGAAACAGTCAGGTGCCCAGCTCCTGGAGCTGATGATCCCACTCCTGTTGCTCGGCCAGCTTGCAGGGTTCCTGGACTAGCCAGGCTTCCCAGCTGTGGCATGCCTCCTCATGCTCATGCTCACAGCTGGGGCTGTGCCATGGCTTCTCACCGCTGACAAACAGGGAGCCCTCATTGGCCAGTGAGTGGTTAAAGCCCGCTTTGGTGCCTGCCTTTCTCGCTCGCCAGCATGATGTCCGGCGAAGGTCTGGCAGGCTAGCAGGAGTGGCTTTAAGTCATACCACACACATCTGGGGCACTCCATAAAGACATGGTAGCACCTCTGTCACTGCACCACTTTTAACTCGTCCACTGGCGGGCTTGGGGGAGGCTTGTGGGCAACAGCGTAGAGAGTGCCCCCTCTTGCCGCAACTTTAGCAAACGAGCGTCTCTGTCCCAGATGTCTTATCCCCGGTAATGCCCTCTCTTTGGTTTTGCCGCCTCACCGCTGCCTACAGGTCTGCCTGGCTGGAGTGGCCTTGCCTGATGATGTAGAGGAGTGCCTGCTCCAGTAACGCCAGTGGGGCCGCTTCTGGCATCCTGCTTCTGACACCAGTGTGGCACCGGGCAGGCCGAGGCTTCGGCTGTGAACAAACATGAGGCGAGGAATTTCACAAAGCAACAATACAGCAACATCGAATGGCAGAGAAACATGGGGAGGTTACACTAAGTACAGTAAGGCATATACTGTACACATATTACAGGTAATTACAAACTGACTAAGACATGTCAGGATCAGGCACTTTAAACTGCAAAATGTATTGCCACACCAGCAATGTCTTTTTTACATTGTTTATCTACCATATCTCCTTTTTAAAAATGTTTGTCTATTGAGCTGTTGCTCTCTTCAGCAACAGTTGATGCTTCCTCTGAGGGAGTGTTTATCCCTTCAATGATACAGTTACAGACTGTATTGCTTGCTCCACTAATTCAGTCAACCTTGCAGTGCATTTTTTGAGCACAGGTTGTCAGATCTTAAAAGACTACGATATGATTGTTTGGAGTTGCATTCATTTCTGTTTTGTGATAAGCTGATGCATGATATCAGGCAATATTCCTTGTCAACTGTCATGATGGGGGACACTATTGCGGATCAGTCCGGTGAACAGATTTTAATATTTTTTTCCAAAATCCAGAAGAAAAAAAGGGACAAAAGCGTACACTGTTAAAAATTTCCTGTATATTTTACAGTAAATTACTGGCAACTGGTTGCAGTAAAATTACGGTAAGTATTACACAGTAACTGTACTGTATATGAGTACACTATCCTACTGTATTTTTACAAGTCCATCTTACAGTAAATTTACAGAAAACTATTGTTGTAATTGCAGTAAATAAATGTAAATTATTACTGTTACTGCAACTTGATGATTACCCAATTGTCAGGAAAATGCTGCAAATTTACAATTAAGTTTTACAGTACACTCTTTTAGATTTACATTATTCAAATTCTGACAGAATACAGTAAATGAAACTAAAGTGCACAATACAGATTTTTAACTTTTATTTGCAAACATAACACACACCTTTAAGTATAATGACAATACACAAACAGTGCATGCACTGGCATCAAATGGCTGTGCCTCAACATAAAATACATGTGTACCCCAGCATGAAACATCTGTGAAAAAAATCTTAGAACAAAAAAGGACAGTTTCAACAGAAAACTGAGGTGTGTCTGAGGAATTAACTAACTCCACACAGAGCTACACCATACCCAAAGTGCTGCTACATTTCCAACCAGTCACAGTCCATCAGTTTCCGCAGCAAGGTGCACACATGTGGATTCATGGTCACTCTCTTTCTTTTCACCACTTGCCCAGACTTTCTGCTCAGTACTTTCCCAGCAGCCACCTTGGAACCCATCTCAGGGTTGATACCAACCAGGCCTCTGTGACAATAAAGACAGCAGCATATATCATTCCAGGGCAGGCATGGGTTATTTTCAAGGGTAGAGCATTCCTGAGCTTAAGCTTTTGTTGCAGTTTGTATTATGTTAAATTCTTCAGATTTACAGCCTTTTGGAACTTTTGAACTGTTCATAAGCATATCAGTTGAACATATCATTCTGAAACAATAGTTTAAGGCCAAAGGTATTGCTGAAGCCTACAATCTCTTCAGTGAATGTCTAGAGTAAGTAGAGGAAACAATGGTAGTTTATCCTTTTCCCAATGCAACAACAATCACAATACTTACCAGCATTCCAATCAATACAGCTAATTTATACAAGACACATGCCAGACTCCATGTGCCATCAGTGATATATTCAGAATTTTAACTTACCTTTGAATGAACTCCAAGGTAGATGACGCCTCCACTGGGTACTGAATATTGAAGTTGTAGTAACTGGCAAAAAGCACAGCTATCCCATTCACTATGGCTTCATGTGGCCCCATCACAACTTGGCCTTCAACAGCCAACATCCAGGCACTTGGTTTCAACATCTCTCCTGAAATAATTGTACATGTATATAGAATAATGAGCAATGGTTAATGCATGACCACATAACTGCCCTGTGAAAAATTCTCCAATGATTTTGGTAATTAAAACTAATATATCATTTGATAAGAACGCAGAAGAAATCTCACCAGCACCTTGTACAATTAGCCGAGGGGTACTGGGCAAAGTGAACAACCGGTCAACATCAGCAGCTGTGGCAGATGGCTGGAATAAAAAAAATATATTTCAACAGCACATTCAACACAAGGCTTTTACAAAATAACTGAATTTAGATAACAGAAAAAAAACATTTGGGAGAGAGAACTTACATCAGCCTGAAGGAAGATGCTGTCATTTGCCTCTTTAAAATAAGCCAGGATAAGGAGGGTGATGCACATCACCTTGCTGTGCCCTGCTTGCTCTTGAAAGGCAGACAAAACTTCAGTGACCTCAGTGTTGGACTTCTGCATTTGAAAAAACTTCAGTATTGTTTTGCCTTTCTTTTCAATGGCTTCCGGTAGCTTCTGGAGGATAGGCATATTTGTCAGTAGATGGAAGTGGGTATGAATGCCTCTCTGAGAGAATAAGAATGGCCATCTGTCTTTGACATCTGGGATCCCGGGTGAAGGAGTACCATTGATGTAGCGACGCTGAAGTACGAATATCTTCTCCAGCCATGTTTGAAGTTCTCCCCTCTCGGCTCCTGCTTTCCCTTCTCGAGAATAAAGAGTCACCATCTGCCTTCTTAGTTCTTCCAATGATTCATCCGTTTCCCCAGAAGGAAAATCTTCGGGCTGCCATCTAACACATCCGTACTGATCCAATGGGCCCTTTGGCCAGTTTTTGTCCACTTCTGCCTCAGAGCAAGATTTTTTCATTTGTCGCCGTCGAGCCAGTGGGTTATGTCGGTTCACATGCTCCACCCTTGTCTTGATTTGCATGAGAAGAGAGCTACATCCATCTCCAATGATCTCTCCATCTTCAAGAACATCTAAGAAACTTCTTGGGTACTCTCTAATTATGCTTTTAGCGACTGTGTGACAAATTTCCCTTGATGGATTAATATTATGTTCTCGCATTTGGTCCACCACACACCTCACCATTTGTCTTCGGTCAGCTGGTGATGGTCTTCTAAGACTGGCAACTGCTGTCTGTATCCCAGCTGGCATTCTGTCCCACTTAACTCTGAAGTTTGATGGCCATGGTGTACTTAAAAGTGACGGCGAAGACATCTTTAAGGAGTCTGAACTACACGGGGATGAAGAAAATGACGACAATGGGCCTGGTTCAGTTCGGTCATGATCTGAAAGAAAAAAAATGCAGAAAAGGAAAAAAAGCTCATTATCAAACATAACTTAATGTTCTATGCATTCTATATTGTTTAATTTCTTCTCCTACCCTCACATTTCCAGGCACTCATCAGTCTTCTGCACTGTATTGGTCTGAGGTAGTCTGCAAGATCCTCTTCTCGCACCAAAAACAAATCCCTCTTGCTTTCAACACCAAGCATTTGTAAGCCCTCTATGAGTGCAGCCAAGGTTTCTTCGGAAAGACCTGGGAGAGCTGCCATTACCAAATCTCTGACTTGCTGTAAATTATCCATTGATCTAAAAACAATGGAAAGCAATGTCCATAATCAGTAGCCATTTTGATACTGCTGATTGATTGATTGATCTGCACATAAAACTAAATAATATGAAAACGTGTATCTTTAAACATGAGGGAATCAGGGTATCAAGGTATTCACAATACATTGACATTCAGAGAACTGTCAATTCCATGGCACAGGACCTTGACACTGACCACACCCCTCTCACTCATATATTCAGACACACTATTCATACTGAATATTTATACTGAATTTTGATATCCATATATCAGTGAAATAACTGGAACTAAATTGTTTCTCATGGAGAAGTGATTTCAGATTGCTTCTGGAAAAATATGATGAAGAGCAATTGCTGGTATGCCACAGATTTTATAATCTGGAAGTGGGTAATAATCTAGTAAATCCTCTTGCTTAATGCAGACATAGTGAGGATCTTCCTGAGGAGCATCTAATAAGCAGTACACACCAATATCCTGTAAAGGTACAAAAATTATTTTCTCAGAGACAAAGTAAACAGATTCCTGCTGAACAATGATCAGTCTAATCCTGCCTACATGTAATTCATTATCATTTTTTCCAAGCAAAACAAGCATTCCTTTTTTGTAAATAGTACCCTTTACCCTCACTTCATTGGTCGCCGCAGTGTTGTCTGGCTGCATGTCATAGTGAGCAACTGAATCTTTGATTTTTTCATTATAATCACTCACAAAGAACTCTGTGCATTTGTTCACCTGTACAATCTGTGGGAACATGCTACCAGTACTCAAATATGCTTGCAGAAGTTGATGTCGTTCTGCTAGTGTTTTACACAGATTTTTGAAGTTGTGCAACTTTCTGGCACATTGCTTAAAGAATGCATGTTTACTCTCAAACCTTAGAGTCCACTGTCGAATCAGTGGGCCGAAATGAGTAATGAGCTGTGGATAATGAATTAGATAGTGGTGCTTGGGTTTTAGAGCATGCTCAGGAAAAAGTGTGCTCCTGTCATAAATGTACTCTTCAATAAGAACCTTAAGATAGGCCACCTGACCTGCTGCAATCGCTGGAGCACAAACAAGCTCTACAATTTGCCTCAGCATTAAAATGAGTTGCCATACCTTATTTTCACTTGGGTTTTTTATTCTATCCCCTACCAGGAGAGGCAGCAGTCTGAGAAAGCACCAATTTTGGACTGCATGTCCACTAAGCCTTCCACTACCAGCTGAGACATCTGCTGGTTTGTCATTGGCATCATTTCCTTTATACTTGAACTGGTTTTTGCAACGATTGACCTGCAAGTATGTGAAGTGTTTCTCCTTTACCAATTTGTCCAGAAACAAAGCAAGATCGTAAGACACAACACCCTCAAATAAGTCATGGCCTATGCATGGAGGCAGGCCAGGCTGACAAACGTGGAAATAGGATAGCTCATTGAATGGTGAATTAAACTTAACCCCAGACACAGAATCTGCAGTGCTTGTAGTCAAGTCTTTTAAGTTGTTTTGATAGGACTCTTTTGTTCTCATTCTGGCACACAAGTGTGGGGACGCCTGAAAACTATTCCTATCAATATCACAGAAACGACAGAAATAAATGCTTTTACTGAAGTTTTCAACAAAACCTCCAATATTATGAGAACCTAAATTGTCTCCCGCGATAGCACACAATGTACATTTCACTGTCTTATCATTTATCATTATGCCAGTCTGCTCAAGTGCTCTCAGATCTTTAATCAAATGGCTGTATACTTTGTCTACCCCAAAATATTTAAAGTCCTGTTCTCTACACAGGAGAACAAGCTGCATGTTGTCAGTGTTGGATCTGTTGTGTGGTAAAATATCTGTTAGAGTAAGGTAAACTGCCAAAACCTTGTGCTTCTTCTTTCCAGAACCAAGTGGATTGACAACTTCAAAGGTATCCTGATAGAGAATAATACCAATTGAAGCTGGTTCTTGTTTTAGCAGCGGATTTTCCTGAAATGCTCTCCCATCTCTTATGTCCTGAAATAAGTTTGCTGTTGAGGTTTGGGAATGGGTTACATCATACTGCTTCTGTACTGATTCACTTTTAAATAGTGCATCTAATGTTTTCTGTACAGGTATGTACTGGGCAAAACATTCCCTACCACTGTCATCAGTGCCAAGTAATATGGACACAGGTTCTACATAGTTGAACTGTGTTTTAAAAGCAGTCTTTCGTTTTTGACTAGTGCTCAAAATTCCAGTGTTACAGGCCTTAAGGAGATCCTCCTTTTTAAGTTCCTCTATAATGTTTCTTACAACAGTCTCAGAGATTCCAAGACCCGTCAAATTATCACTTAATATCTTAAGTAAATGTTCCAGACCAATGTCATGGACATTCTGAAAACCATCAATAATTGTCTGAAGAATACATTCAGGCAATAATAATTTAGCCTGTAGTTTTAGATAAAACAGTGTAAAGTTTTGTAAAAAGAGATTTCCATCAACAGAACAAACCTCTTTTGGATCATCAAAATTGCTAGGCTCTGGACCACTTGACTGATTCTGACACCCTGTAACTACAGGTCTTTCAAGAAAACAGTCTTCTAGATGTTCCACACCATTGTTTCTGTGCTTCCTGGAAATGTGGGATGCAAAACTGGATACTACCACAGATTTTACAGCACATCTTTTAAATGGACAATTAATTTCCAGTCCCTGTTGAATATGTGATTTCAAGTGATGCATAAAAACACTTAATGTTTCACATTTAAAAGCACAAGAGCTCAATGTACATTTTAGAATGTTGTCCAATTGTTGACTCATTTTCAACACAGGAACCTCAGCTTTGTGATCTCTATACATATGTGCTTTGAGAGCAGTGAATTTATGATATGTCCTTGAGCATTCAGGCACCCCACACTGATACACATAATTAGATGTGTTACTGTGCAACTTTGTGTGTTGGCCAAACTCAAAAACAGTATTAGATACATGACCACACAAATTGAATTTACAATGGTACATTTTGGATAAAAAGATTTTTAAAAACTGTTTGAATTCAAATAATAATCAATTGTTAAGCTTCTGGTAATACTATTACTGACATCACTCCATTGCTCTTAGAGACAGTAGACTTGAATATGGCACTTACACTAACAATATAACTCGTTGCAGCCTAAATCTTATTTAGATGTGTGCTTTTATGGGATTTCAAACTTAAGGGATTCCGAAAAAAAGTCTTGTCTGAATACCACTAACACTCCAAATATCATCCAGCGATAACCAGTGAAGCACCAAAAATTACAGGCTAAAGGCAGCAACATTTTCTTGAATAATATGAGGAAAAATATATTAATAGTACAATTTTTTTAGAGTGTGCATATATATATGACGATAATCTGTGAAAACAGACGGTTTTCGGCATAACCGCTGCTCGACATATCACCAATCATTAGGTTAATAAACAATAGTTAAAAAAAAAAAAGATTTATCTGAAACCCAGTGTCTTTAACAAAATGAATTACTTTTTTGCATGCAACCGGGTTCTTTAACTTAAGAAATTATTAGAAGGTAAATCAATTAAAAGCTATAACTAACGCTTACTAAGATGGGTTCTGCTTAGGACAAGTAGCGATAACAAAATAAGCTAACATGCCTACACATTACTTACAGTTAATTTTAAATAATTCAAAATGAGTTGTTCTGCATATATTACTTCAAAAACTAAACAAAAGATTAATGTACCGTGATTTTTCTCAATATTTCTTGTCTCCAACTATCCCGTTCTAAGCCTCTGCTTTTCTCCAAGGTCACTGAGCGGTTGGTCTAAAATCGCGCCTTTTTATGGGTTTACAGCAACGTACTGTGAGCGCTTACAAAAATCCCAGCATACAATGTGATTTCCAGTAAAGTTACAGCAAAATAATTTTACAGCACAATATTGTAAAATTTTATTGTATAATTACAGCAATTTTTAACAGTGTAGTAGTTGATCTGCTTTACACTGTTAAGTCATTAGTACTCATTAGTAACTTATTGAACTTAAACTCGTGTAAGTTTGGTTAAAAGCTTCTTACAAATGAGANTGATCTGCTTTACACTGTTAAGTCATTAGTACTCATTAGTAACTTATTGAACTTAAACTCGTGTAAGTTTGGTTAAAAGCTTCTTACAAATGAGATAATGAAGATGATTGTTCATAAGGATGTCATGAAAATAGATGGTTTTCATAATTTTTTTTATTAGTTTTGCACACACTGTTGTGATGTGTTGACCAGTTTCATTGTCCAGTATGATGTATTGTTCACTTATAGGTGCTGCTGACTAATTCAAATGTTGGCGTTTCAAGAAGGTCCTTTCAGAGGCTGAATAGAACACGCATGTCGGTTTTTGCTCAGGAATTGGCCGTACTTGTTTTTGGAAAGGAAACCCTTGCCACGTCTTCAATTACAAGGAAGCACAGTCATGCCTTCAAAGAACTTCCTGAAAAGTCTCCGCTCGATCCAGAAAAACTGAATGCTCTGACTGGTAAGTCAATTTACAGTATTGTTTACATATTAATTGTTTCCATGTTAATTCTGTTATTGCTGTAATTAGTACTAGGAATTAAAATAGTAATGGTGTTAAGCTGTTATTGCTAAATTCATGGCTATATACACTCACCTAAAGGATTATTAGGAACACCATACTAATAATGCCTTAATTCTACGTGGCATTGATTCAACAAGGTGCTGAAAGCATTCTTTAGAAACTTTTTTATTTCGAGTCGTGCCATCCAAATACCACTGGATCTGTTCATCCGACCATATGGCGATTAAAGCCTGTGTTTCCTCGTTTGTCCATCCTTCAATTTTACTTTTTTATATTTTTGTTTCTACTGCTTTTTATTTTGTTTCTCGCTGTGATCGCTCTGTGTGTTTCAAAAGATGGCGGTTGTATTTTGTGTTTCAG